TGTTTAAAGATCTTACCGGTTACTGAGGATTTATTAGCTTTTGAAAAAAATACGAATTATTAGCTCTAAAATAAACACAACGGTTATTTATCAAGTGAAGTTTATTGGAAGTTTACTGTAAACATCATAATAAGAGAAATATTTTCAATCAAATACTGTAAATCGAAAGGTAAAATTCAGTTATTATAATACAACCATCTAGAGCAAGAAGTTGATACTTACAATGACGAATATTTCAGTTGTCATGTCCAGGAATTGGCCGATAGTAAAAGCAATATCAGTCCTTACGAGTCGATCCTGTATATCAGTTTCCTGAAAATCACAAAGTAAATTGGATTCCACATCACTTCATGGCTAACAGAGAAACCATACATTACCTTAATAGAAACTATTGCATCCAATTGTAAACGACACGTACCTTTCCTTAGGTTTTTACAATAAGAGCTCATCTAAAAGTAAAATGATCAAACTCAATCATGACTAATTGAATGATCAAAAGATAATTCAAATTGATTTTACCTTTGTCAATACAATTCCATTGACATACGAGCAAACTCCAATTGATATGAAACCATTTAGAGCAACAATTGCGAGAAAAACATCTAAATAGTTATGATCAATGTGGACAACAGCTGCAATGTAAACACCAAAATCTGAAGTAAAAGACATTCCAAGGTAAAGAAATATGAGCCAGTTTCTAAAGCGAACGTTGAGATGCTCGATTTCATTCTGATATTGAATAACCTCACGAATAGTAGCTTTGTACATAAGCAAGTAGTCAACTTTATGCGAACTTCTTCTTTTCTTGGCAAAATGTTCCACATTCTCAGCTACATGAACAGCTTTAAAGTAAAAGTAAGCCAAATGAATAGTAACCAAACCCCCGGTTAACATGAGGTTGATCAAGGCACAAACAAGTCCAAGATAAGTGACAAAAAGCCAACAATAAGTGTAAATGAATTGTTGAGGTGTTTTCGGTAGTTGAGATACTGATTCACTAATAAATACTAAAATTGGTGCAAGACTAATTGTTAAAAGAGCAATCACTTTGATCCACCAAATCGCTAGATTGTTGGCCACAAAACGAAACTTTAAGCAATAAAATGGACTCATAAGTAAAACTTGACTTCTAAACCCTTTTGAATATAATGTATCGTACAATCTAAGTGTCTTTAAATGGCCCTTTTTAACCAAATATATCCAAAAATGTCTCAAAAATTCACCAAAAATGGACATGTACAACCAGAAAAGCCAAAAAAATCGACGACCTGGATGACCACAAAAAAAGTCACCAAAAATATGAAGCCATTGATCGGGTAAATTAAAGACGCTTAACAATACTAAATGGCCGATATTGGCGAATATTATACAAAAATAAATGATGGATTTTACTGTAGTCCATTTTGACGGTGTTACACTTGCATCTTGAGCAAACCCGTTTGGTAAAATATTAAATGCAATGCAAAACGACTCAAGTCGTTTCATATCTTTGATTACTACATCATCATCGACATTACTTGATCGAAACCCAAGTACGAGTTGAATCAATTTTGACATAATTTAAAGAGCAATATTAAGTTCAAGATTCCCTGTAAATTAGTTGAATTCAAAGGCGAATTTTAGTTCCAAAGAAGACGTGATTTGTGTCAACTGTCAACAATATTATAATATTGCCCAGTGAATTCACTGATAACTGAAGGCATAATGAATAGAATCCAGTTAAAAATGAATTTCAAGATTGAAGGTTAAATAATTTATGGTTGAATCTAAAGTTCACCACTCATTGTGAATTCAGAATGAAAACCATTCAGAAGAATATCAAAACTCATTATGCATGTGATTGATTTAAGTGTAGCGTCGTTGAAATGAGTGGTTTTGAAAATTTCTTATAAAATGGTGAAATTATGAAGTTCAAAGTGTGATACAATTCATTATCATTCATAATTCAAATAATCTGAAAAAACACTTGAGCTAAAAATTTAAAATCAATAAGCTTTATTAATCTCCATTGGCTTGTTCAAGGCCAATCGATCTCATCATAAATATTAAGTTCATTAACAGATAAAAATTTACCCTATTTATTTATTTGATTCATTGCCAAAATAATGAAATGCTAAAATTGTAAAGCAATCATGAGAAAATGTCAACATTAACTAATAAAATTAGATCGATTTTTGAAATGTTGATCTCATAAGTCGTTTTATTACATTGTATACTGTTATTTTAATTATGAATCCATCAAGTGACAATTATTAATTAGAAAATGCTTTATTTTTTAATTACAGTCACGGTGTTCTTATAAAATTTAATAACAAGTGTGTTTACAATAATAAAATACATTGATGGATATGCTTGATCATGAAATGAGCTCTACATTGTTTTGTATCAAGTTGAAAGTAAATTGGTTCGAGTTTGGAATAAAAAAGTTTCGGAAAAATTCGTCCATTAATCACTTCATGTGCCAATAAAAATCACTACGTATCCAGTTCTCAGCATTTTGTTACACTTGAAATCCATGATTTCCATCACTTTATCAGAGGTCCAATGTTAACCGTGAATAGCATCAAGAGTGATATATTTTCTACGATAAACTGAAACAGATAGATTATTATCAAGTCAGAAATTAATTAACGCATCTCACCAATATGAAAAATCTTTTCTCGAGAGTCACGAAGTCTCCAATTTTAAAACCATTGTATGGTCCAGCAGCCCGATCCATTAACTCTAAAATCTGTGCAAAAAGGTCGGGTCATACATTTATTGATAAGTTAACTGTTTCAACTGTATTATTCCTTACTTTACTTGCTGTTCCCAATGAAAGCTTATTCTTGCAGGTTAATTGATGGAGTTTTATTGTTAACTTATCAAGCTATCAATAAAAGGAAACATAAAATTAATTTGAATACAAAATTATCTATTATTGAATATAAGTCTTTATTTTAGGTTTATAAACTTATAGTTTGTTCAATCGAATCATTATTCCTTACTTTGCTTGCTGTTTGCAATGATAGCTTATTCTTGCAGGATAATTGGTGAAGTTTTATTGTTAAACCATCAAGCTATCAATGAAAAGAAACAAAAAAATTAATTTTGACACAAAATTATCTATTATTAATTACCTTCGAGATGAAGCTTCCGAAAGCAATTGCAAATCCTCCAATACCTGATAGTATAATCATACCTAGGATTGCGAGTAAATTTGCTAAAATATCATTGTAAACTCTAACAACGCCACCAAGGAAAATGTAAGCATCGGCTGAAAAAGCAAATACAAAAACGTAATACAAGGAAACGTACCGTAGTTTTTTGACGGTCAACTCAAAACTGTTGAGACGACCTGTGGCTAATAGACAGAGCAATTTCACTTCTCTATCAACATTAATAGTCCCAGTTGATCTGTTCAGTAGATTGGCCATACTCAGTAAACTCGTTAGCCGGAAAAGATGAAACGATAATGAACATACAAGATACCAACTGAATCCAACAATTCCGTTTAAAAGAACAGAGCAACTAAATATGACAGAACATGACCAAATAAAACTAGAAATGAACAGTTTTGGTATCTCGTACATCCAAGGATTGGTCAGTAATGGGGCGATGATCAGCATGGATAAAAATAGAGGACCTACGAGTATCGTGTAATAAGCAAAAATAGACACTAAAATGATTGTTGTACGAAGCCTTTTACAGTTGATATTATCCATCTTCAAATTAATCGAAGTGAATCCGTTGAGACAAATATTCCAATCATGTAATATCTCGAGATTTCCTTTGTATCCAAGGGTCAGAATCCATTCACGAAAGATGACTATGATAGATAATATGATCAAACACCATATGAATAAAGGTCGACGATCTTTATTACGAAATAATGGATCACCAAGATAAATGGCAACCGATTCACTATCATCGCAAATAAGTATAAGTACTCTAACCCAATTGATTAAACAAGTTATTCCGATGATCCGATCCCACCGATTAAGTTGACGATAAGCAATAGAGTTGGCAGTAACAGGCTTACTTTGACTCAATCCATGGCGGACAACCTGATAGATTATTGTTAATCTTTCTGTACGTCGTATCAATTGAAAAACATACGAATCAGCATCATTCGAATGAGAAAATATAAAAAAACTGAAAATGTTTCTCAAATATTTCAGCAACAAGTTTTTTCGATAACGATAATAACATGCAAATGTATGAAGTATTATCAAACGAGCCATGTTCAACTGGGAGTTTGTTAGATTCAGATTGATGTTTTTCATGCATGTGAATTGAGAATCCTTTTCAAATATTGCAAAAAGTAGTTTTTTCGGTTACGAAAAAAAACTTGCGTCTTTATTAGTCATTATTAATCAGCGATTTTGAAACTTGAAGTTGTTTATTACATTTAAGTTCATGTTTATTATGTATGTTAATTGTTGCTATGAGTCTGCCAGTTGAAATCATTGATTCACTTTTAATTGAAAGAATTGATGAAGGCTTGGATTCATTTTTCCCTTTGATTTCGTGATCTTTCCATCCGTCATCCCTTGAATGTTTAATACACATGCATTAATTGTTAATGGAAATTGATTCAACTATTGATCACAATCAAAGTGTTAGTTTATTAGCATGAGGATGGCAGACTGATTTTATTACACCAATTATTGGTCCCGTATTTGGCAATCAATCCTCAAATATCATTGTTGAACAATCCCTTGCGCAATTGAGAATACTTTTAAAATGCAGTTCAGAGTATACAGAGCGTTTTTTTCATTTAACGCCTGTTTGCGGTAATAACTCACGAATCAAAGGTTATAAAGACTTAACACTTGCGGTGATGTAGCGCTGCTAGAAATTTGTCAAACGATAATCAAATTGGCCTAGAAATGGTTTCAAGGTTTTTACTTTTATTCATAATTTCTCTGCTTTCTATTGAAATGGTTATTGACTTAAACCGATATTTAGACAAGGTTATGATATAAAGCTGCTCGAAAATCATGCATACCGTGATATCGTTAGCATATATTCAGATCATTTTTATTCAATTCATATTTTTATATAGAGTTATACTATTAAATAGCGATGAAAAACTTGAGTCATTATCACGATAGGTCATTGTTTCGCCGTTTGTACGCGTACGAATGGTTAATTTTGATTAGAAAGATTTGCAGTATGTATCAAAGGTCCAATGTTGCAAATAAAAAGCATTAAAGCTGATATGTTTTCTAATATAAACTAGAAGAAACAGAATTTAGAGTTTTAGTGAAATTGCATTTTTACTCATCTTACCGTTATGCCAAAACTTTTCTCAAGAGTCAAAAGGTCTCCGATTTTGATGCCATTGTATGGTCCAGCAGCTCGATCCATTATCTCCAAAACCTGTACAAACAGATCAGATTCACAGACTAAGTAATTCCGTATATTCTCAACTTGAGTTGATAGGAGTTTTAAATTTTACATTGTATTTGATTTGGTAAGATCAATGACTTGGGATACGGATTCTATGCTTTCTCATCGACTAAAATTATTGCGAATTATGCTTTTTTGTGGGAAATTTTTGAGAATTCATTATTAGTAATGTTCGCTTTTGCTCTTGTTCATTTTAAAGATATATTATCCATACTTACCATGTTTGCTGTGCGCATCGTAAGTCTATTCTTGGTGGATAGTTGGTGCAGTTTCACTGTCAATCTATTGAGCTAATTAAAAGAATATAAAAATCAATTAAATATCAACCGAAATCGATTCTGTCAATTACCTTTGAGATGAAATTTCCAAAAATTAAACCAAAAGTTCCAAGAGATAGCAAAATCGAGAAACCGAGGAATGCGAACAAATTTGCGACTGACTCATTGTAAACTTTAACAATGGTGCCAAGAAAAATGTCGAAATCACCTACGGCAGCAAATATTAAAAGATAACATAACAGTAGATAGCGAAATTTGTGAGAAACCACTTCAAAATTGTTAAGCTGATGAATGATTGACACACAAAATGATCGAAGTTGTTTCCCATCAACCAATCGGTGATTCAAGTCATCTGCAGAGTGCAGCAGATCATACAGTCGAAAGAGATGAAAGCAAATGGAGCAAACTATGTACCAGAAGAATCCAAATGCAGTACTGAAAAGAAGCGTAAAAACAAAGATGATTGGAAAGGACCAAACAGAACAGAAAAAGGCCAGTTTAGGAACTTTGTATATCCAAGGATTGGATAAGCATGGTATAATATATATTAATGCTGAACAGAAAGGCATTGAAAGCAGCACATTTTGTGTAAAAATAGAAAATAAAAAGATGGTAAAACGAAATCTTTTGGCAACAAGATTGTTCATTTGCAAGTTAGTCGAGTCGAAACCATTGAAACAAACTTTCCATGCAGACAATATTTCGAAGCTTCCTTTTGCATTCAGATTCAAAATCCATTCTCGAAAAACGAACAACATTGAAATCATTATTGAACCATATATATATATAGCTTGACCATCTTTGGCACGAAATAATGAATCTCCAAGGTAAAACGCAACAGAATCACTTGTGCTGAAACCAAGTGCAACAAATTTTGTATAAGTGATTAAACAGTTGATTGTTATGAACCAGTCCATCCATTTGTATCGACGGTAACCAAACGCATTTACTGCAGATGAGTTGCTTTGGCTTGGACCATTAAAGTCAAGTTGAAAGAAAGCGGTCAACCTCTCTGTTCGTTGCACTAGTTTACAAACAGTCAAATCAAATTCATTTGAATTGGGAACTGTAAACGGAAAACTCGACAATTTTTCCAAAACGTAATTTTTCTGTTTGCTTAAAACATTCAAAGCCATGATTTGTTTTCATTCAACTTGTGATAAAATGAATTTGAATTTCGTTTTTAAAGTCTTCAGTTTTTGATCAACTTTATTGTCAACATTGTAAATCGTTTCTTTTTGTCACGATTATTCATTCAAAAACAATTAATTTGAAAATCCTATTATCGTTTGGTGCTATTCCGCATCATATTATTTAAATAATTTGGATAATCATTGAATCGATATAGCTGAAATGATATATTTATTTTCTGTGAAAAATTGTTGCTAAGAAACTAAAGTTCACACTTTTAATTGAATTTACTTGATGCTCATTCAAAAAGAATTGATTCACAAATCCTTAACTGTTGGATGCTATTCAATAAACATCTTTTTACAATGATTTGAACACTAGTTTATTGGGCTTAGTTCACGACTACAATAACTAAAAAGGTTCCAAGTCTTTTAGGTGTGGATTTAATTTATCGGAATCAGTCATGATCAAAGAGGAGCAAGAGATAGCACGACGAGGTAAAGGGTGTAAAATGAGATAAGGGCTAACTTAAACTCTCGCTGATAGAGGGCATTGAAGGAAGCTAGAAAAAGAAAGACAATTTTGAAAAAATTATAAAAAATTAATTTTGAATTAAAGAGATTAATTTGCTTTTTAATTTCTCTCTCTCTTTGCCTTTCTTTTTTATTGCCATCTATCAGCGAGAGGTTAAACTAGTCCTTATCTCATTTTGCACCCCTTACATCATCGTGCAGTCTCTTGTTACTCTTTGGTCATGATTGTACCAATCTGCAGTAAAATTTAATACAATTTTAATACCTTTTTGAAATCTGATTATCACCAGGACTCGCAGCTTTTGGCGAGTGAAAATTAGTATAAGTTACGATTTGCAATATTTATTTAAAATCGATGTTGCATTTTGTTGAATATTTTTTTAATGCGTCGCTGTATTACAGTTATGGATTTTCGTATCATCATATAACAATAACTCCAACCTTGTAAAATCAGTTATCATTTCTAAAAAACTACAAAGAAATATCATTAGATTTGTCAAAGTCCCTCATCAATTCAATGCCAAACTGAAAATACTCAATACCTCAATTACCTACGAGATAAACTTCCCAAAAGCAGTTGCAAATGCTCCAATAACTGATAGCTTGAACACACCAATGGTTGTGAGTGAATTGGCTGAAAAATCATTCTAAAGTCTAACAATGATACGAAGGAAAATGTATCAATCGCCTGAAAAAGCAAAAACAATGTATTAACTCGGTGGAACCTCCATGTGAAAACATACTGACAGGTATGTTTGCCCGCTGGGCATGGGTATGGAAAAAAGAAAGAGTAAAGGGAAGAATAAAAGAGTAAAAGAAAAAGAGTAAGCAAAAGAGTAAACAGAGCAATAAAACTTGCACACTAAAAATTGTACACTGTGCAAACATCTCAAATTTCGCATTTCTTTAGTCTTGTTTTGGTAAAATAATAACACAATGGCAACTAGATTAACTTTAATTACGCGAGTTACTAACGTAAATGGTGAAGAAGTGGAGGAGCCCCGAGCGATGAATATTATGACGTTGAAAAATTTACCCATTGTTTCCGCGCTGTTAAAGAAGGTGAATCCCATGCCGAGTTATGGGCCGTAGCGTATTGGAAACGCACACCTGTTCGGACGTCTGACATTGATCAGTACGGCCAACACATACCGGTAAGAAAAGCCACAAAAGAGGATCTGGATCTTTTAAACGGATACGATCCAACCCGACGCATACCTGGTAAGTTCAACTGTCGGTGGTGTGGGAAAGGTGGTGGCCGCCGAAACCAGATGATAACACGTGAAAAGGGATGCCTGTACCCGGGATCTATAAGACACAATTGTACTGTCTGGGGTTGTGTCAAACGAGGTGAAGACTGTGTTGGCGCCTCATTACTGAAGGATTATATTCCTCCTTTAGACCACCGGAGCATCAGCTCGGGACGAAGAGCAAACAAATAAGTGTGGTTCTATTTTATGTATAATTACGAAAGTAGTAAGAAAAAGCACGGTACAGCGCAATTTTCCTTGGCGCTGACCGTGCTTTTTTCCTCTTTCTTTTTCTCTTTCTTTTTTACCTTTCTTTCCCTTTCTTTTTCTCTTTCTTTTTTTATGCCATTAAACTCAACAGAATGATTATTATTGAATAATTCATTTATTTTCCAAATTAGAAAAGCTTCGTATATAAAATACAAAATTTTTATAATCAATATTAGAATAAATGGGGTTTTCGATCATTTCCCCTAGAACATATTTGAGATCCTTGCTATTTTGTGTTAGATTTTGATATGCCAACTGCCAACGCCATTTTCTTCTCCATAATTTTCAACACATTCATTGCACATATATAATGAAATCCAATACATGGTGAACTTCTCCAAAACTATCCAAATTTTTCCCAAGTACTTTGATAATATTGATGTGAGGGATCCCACTATAATCCAACAGACTTGCCGAAAATTCATCGAAACAAGCAATCAACTTTGGTCCATCGCGACTAATATTCTCGTAAGATGATCGCATAGATCTTGCCGAACTTGGAAATGGTTTAAAATCCTCAGTAAGATTGAATCCAGGTTTTGGTTCGATTAAAAAATACGAAAACTTTCCAAATATATCGAAAGCACATTCGACTTTTTTATCATAACATTTAATTGCATGGAAAGTTGCACAGAAAGACATTTTAGTTAATGGAGGAAGATAAATTGACTTGTCAAGTGTTAACAATTAAGAACAAAGTGTTGATTAAATGTTCAATATCTTGAATGATGAAAACTTTGAAGAAATCATCATCTTTTATACTGATTTTTACTCACTCATAAACCAACTCACTCTACTTGAGAATTTGCTCAAACAATCAAATGATTCTCCTCCTACAGTCGAGGCTTCAATTTTAGATTCAACAATTAGATGACGAACTTTTTGTCCTATTGTGAAATTCCATTTACAAATGTGTCGCAGGAACTTGCCATGGACTTGGATTCTTTTGGTTCTTTTGAGACTTCTTCGCTTTGTATGAATGACATACAAATGAATGTGCATTCGCTGTTGTACAAAAATGCAATCGAAGATGCTTTGGATTGATTTGAAATTACTTCTCAAAACTTCCCCTGATTCTAAACTTAAAGATTCATTGACTAAAATTGTGGATAACCTTGGAGAGACCCCTTCAGAGGATGATGACAACTATGGACTTTTAATTCGAATATCAAGAAGACT